GCAGATGAAAATAACTGAAATGACCCAGAGAGAGGAACGGTGCTCTGCGGTGTTTGAAGAGGCAGTGGGAGCAGTGCCAACAGGTGAGAAGTTCTGACTGCATTTAACATGTTTTCCTGTTACTTGAGCATACTCTATACTGAATCTGCCCTCCTTTAGTTTAAAACCATTACTCCTTGTCCTGTTGCAACAGGCCCTGCTAAAAAGTCTCTCCCCATCTTTCTTATGAGTTTTAAGTACTGAAAGACTGCAACAGGGTGTCCCCAGAGCCTTCTCTTCTCCAGGCTGACAACCCCAACCCTCAGCTTCTCCTCACAGGAGAGGGGCTCCATTCCTCTGATAATACTTGTGGCCCTAAAGTCAGGCAGACAAAGGATTTTTCTCAGCTGCCTGTGAGCATCCTCTCTCTTGCATAGATGCATTGAGAACTACAGGCCTTTGCCTGTGCAATCTGCACTGAGCATCAGTTGTGACAGCCATGTGCTGAAGCCTCATCTCTTTACAAAGAGTTACTGTCTGCAGCTTACACTGGGAAGCCATTTAAAAATGTTCATGTTTTGGATGTGGGGTCTCTGTTTTAAAATGTTGTAAAAATTGGCATTAACACTTAGTGCTTGGATTCTCTGTATTCCTTTTAGACAAACATTTGTGCTTACTCTTGTGATTCTGTAAAGTGTGACATTATGTCTTTGATTCTCTAGAGGACATGTGGAAATGCTACATCACTTTTTGCTTAGAGAGATACAACAGAAAAACCAACAGTCAAGGATTAAAGCAAAAGGTAATAGCTTATTAGGACATTATAGTAACAGATCATCCCTATTTTGAACGACTTCTGTAATCTGTCAGACAAAGCAGATGTATTTTGACATTTTATCAGAAATGCCTGTGGCCATCAGTAAAAATCATTTAGTACCCATCAGAGGGGATCACTTCTACTGTCAGGCTCACATGTGGCCTGCCTGAACATGAATAACCCGATATAAACCAGCCTTGTCAGTAAAGTATAGTGACCTCTTTGGGTGAAAGTTAAGAGTGCAAATGTGTCCCTGTTTGCTGAAAGTGCTGCAAATCTGTGTTGTTCAGAGAAGAGGGTGAATTGAAAGGACTCTTGCAAATGAGTCCAAGCTAAGTTAGATGCTGGCATGTAAGTGCCTTAATTACACATCTGTGCTTGGGTGCAACTCAGTGCATTAACTAATGGTCTTGGGCAGTTTGGTTCCCTTTTAATACAGTAAAAGAACATTGCTATGTTGTTCTTTCACTCCTTAAGGAAGAGATGTAATTCAGATGCTCAGATATCCCCCTTATCTTGGGATGTATGCAGATACCTAAAGCATTAGACATATAACTTACTGTATTTCAGTGATGTGTTGATACATAAAATCTGCTGTGCTGCTTCTAATGCTCGGATCTGGTGTATGCAGGAATAATTATGTTTACTTTATGTTTTCTTCTCTGTTGGTTCTAGAGACTGGAGAGGACACTGAGTGTGTTCAGCAAAGCCCACGAGTCCCATTTGCTGTCAGAAGCTCTTTATAAGCAGTGGGTAAGAGCAGACAGAAAAATAGCTTGTGAGATTGTCCTGCGTTGCTTACATCCCTGTCTTTACCATGTTGAGTAGATAGAAGGGTGGGCAGTATTGCATCCAAGACCTCGTTTTTTAACAAGGTATTGAAAAAGTCTTGTGCTGATCAGCTGTATCCGATGGGTTTTAGGTTCAACTACTGCTGGAGTCCAGCCAGTTTGAGAAGGTCACAGAGGTGGCAGCAGCTGCAACTGAGCGCTTCAGCCAGTCAGTGGAAATGTGGCAGATGAGGCTGCAGGTGCTGATCCAGCTGAAGTGTGACGATGTGACCCAGTGTTTTGAAGAAGCTATTAAGCACGTGAAATCTCAGGTCTGTGCTGGTTTTATTGACTTGCCATGTATTAGTCTTGGGCCAGAACCTCTGATATTTGATTCCTCTCCTGCTTACCTTTCAGGGTGCTTTGCCATTATGGACCCTCTGGGTGGAATGGAGTGAAGGCACAAACAGCAAGGAGGACACAGAAGCCCTCTATCAGGTACTTAGCTAATAGAAGTCTACTTTTTATGTCAGTATGTAAATAATCGGGAACAATGGGTGTGGATGGAACACCTAACAAATTACAGAATTTCAACTGAAAGCTATGTATGTTACCAAAACCCAGTTGGACATAGGCTTACAAGCCTTTTAATTGTAGCTTCTTTTTTCCTTTTAAACTTGCAGAGATCCTTACAGGCCACTAATCCTGCAGAATCTGCAACTATGAAAGAAATGTATCTTGACTGGACTTACAGAAATGGTGGTTATAAGAAAGTGAAAAAAGTCTTTACCAGGTGACAAATAAAATCTTGAAACCTGAATGTTCTAGTGCAGGTGTTAAAAGGCTTGAATTCTAAAGTTACTTGTGTTTCTACTTCAGCCTGTGTGAAAATCGGCCATTTTCACTTGGCTTCTTCAAGAAGATGATCCAAATAGAAAAGGAGCAGGTAACTATCTAATTAATGGCTTGTACTTGTAAAATACGTGTCTAATGTTGGATTTAAATGGGAAATAGAGTGCTTATGAGTTGTGTCATTAGTTTGTGATCAGTTCATATTTGTCTTCTGAAGTTGATTCATAGCATTGAACACAAAGCCAGTTCCATGGTAACTAATCGTTGGCAGTGTGCGTGTGCGCGTGTAATTACCGTGACTCTTTTTCTTTGTACGAGTCTAATCAAGCCGCAGCTTCAGTTCTGTACAAAATAAATGGCCTTTTAATACCTTCCTTTGTTAGGAATCCTGCAAAATGCTCCATCTGAGAGAATACTATGAACGTGCCTTGAGAGAGTTTGGTTCAGCGGGTTCTGGTAAGGGGGTTTTATTTATTTATTTATTCATTCCATGCTGCTGCTTTTATTTTCGTCTATTTCAAAAGTTAGCTGCTTGTTCTGCCCTTGTGATTGCTGCTGTGCAGAGTCGAGCCTGTCGTTTCTGTGCCATTAAGAGCATGACACTCCGCAGTGACCTTCACTTTCAGCCCATGGTCGCTGTTCACAGTGGAATGGCTTCAGCGGAACTGCAGGCAACCAGAGTTTTGACTCTGGCTGGCAGGGAGATGATACCACCTTGAATTCGGGTTTGCAAACACTATGGGGCTGTGTTTTTCTCATCAAGATTTCTGCAGTATTTCTTTTAAGAAAGTAAACAGCTCAATTATTGCAGCATTATTTTTAAGACATCACTGTTGCACTGGAAATAGAACCCAGGCTTTGGTCCTCATGGGCAGGCGGCTGTAGTTTCCCAAAGTAAACCTCACTGCATTAACATCAAGGACACTTAAAGAACATATCTAGGTCAGGTTTGATATGTTTGTTCATACCAATCAAAACATAACCAGAACTTCTTTTTCTGTTAAAGATCTCTGGCTGGATTATATCAAAGAGGAGTTAAATCATCCCCAAGGCAAACCAGAAAACTGCGGGAGCATTCACTGGAGAGCTATGAAGATGTTGCAGGGGGACCTGGTGGAAGACTTTGTTTCCAAATACACTTTACTGCAAACTGGACATTTATGAAAATTATGAAACATTATGAATAGTTACAACATGACAGTGTACATTTTTTTAACAACTTTGTACAAAAAATAAGTATGTTCCAGGATCTCATTAAAATGTAACTTTACATTATTGCATGTGTGAAAAAACAGTCTGTCCCATTGCAGTTGTTTCTGGTGTTGCTTCTGCCAGGGGCAAGTTCAAGTGCACACTGAGAGGAGAAAACAAAGGTGCCTCTGAGGGTGTTCTTCATTGAGAGTTCTGAGAGCAAACTCTTCCTCCTGCCTAAACCTTCAGATGGAACAGTCAGAATGCATCAGCTTTTACATTGCAAAGCTTAATGTGCAGAAAAGTCCAAACCCATGGAAACTGCACCTGTGGGATCTTTGAATTTTATTAAGTTGAATAATGGAAAGTGGAACACTCGAGAAGTGATCTCTGAAATCACAGTGGTGTTTTTGAACCTTGAAGTCATTTGTAATCCTCTTTTCAAAAGGCCATCTTCTATCTCCCCACTATTTCTCAGATGCCTCATGTCTGGCATTCTGCTTTCTCCAGCTCCTTCCCCAGTAATCACTGCTTTTATATCTTGTCTGCCCTTTATTGTGTTATTCCTTCCCGTGAGCCACTTGTCTTCTTTCTTCAGTTGCACAACAATTTTAAGTGCAAAATGTGGGTTTGGAGGAATTGGTTTTGGTTAGTTGGGGTTTTTTGTTTGAAATCCAACAAAGCTGATAACCACCGCTTCTGAAAGCGGGCTCTTGACAGGGGCTGGTTCTGGAGCTTTGCCACTCACTCCACTACCTGCAGCACCCTCGTTGAGCCATGTCTATTCCTAAAAGCATGCCTGTCTGATGCCCGTTGGCGCAGCACCCACCGCCGGGTGCTTTCTCTGCGCACTCTTCCAGCATGAGGCCTGCAGGAGGGGGTTATCTTTTGCCAAGATTAGAAAGGCACGGAGCCTGCAGAGGCATCCATATTTTACCCACACCTTTGTGAGCGCAAAGGCTCTTTCTTACAGGTCCTGCGTATTTCTCCGGTTGTTTTGCCCCCTGGTCAGGCTTTTCCTCGCTGCTCACCGTCTCCAGTAGCAATGCAGTTCTGCACCGTGTGTCTCGGCGGCACAGGAGCGGGGCGCGGAAGGCCGGGGCGCTGCACACCGACCCTAACAGTATGGGGGTCCCGCGGCGCCTCACTTCCAGCGGCCGTCGCGGCCAGCCCGGCCAGCCGGTGCCGAGGCGCAGCCGTCTGTCCTCGCAGGCCGGCCGTGGCCGGGGGCGCAGGTGCTGCTGATGGGACCGACGGGCGGCGCCGGCTCGGCAGGTGTGCTGCGCTGCTGTGGGGCGGGGCGAGCCGGGCTGGCTTCCCTCGCATGACCCGTGTGCGCCTCTCGACGGACACGGTGCTCTGCTCTTATTCGCGGCGGGGAGCCTTGTCAGGTCTCTCGTGGCCGCGGGTCCGGCCTTGGCTTTGGGAGCCCGGCTTCCCGCGCCCTGGGCAGGGGCTGCTCTCCAGCGAATCCACCTTTGCTGCGGTGCGGATAACGCACCTTCCCCTGCCTCCCCTCAGGGGAACGTGAGGTCTTACCTTGTGCTCTCCAGCTGCGCGGCCGCCATTTTTAGCCCCTCAGGAGGCTGCGGGAGGATCGGTCTCTGTCCTGTTTCCTTGGCACGTTGGCTCCTGTAAGGTGGGATTCGTAGGCTTTGGTTCTTGTACCCATTCCACTCCTTGTGTATTATTACCTTTGTAACTTACACAGCGTGCTGTTGTTGGCAAACGGGTGCATTTTGGGTCAGATTTGGGACCCGCTTCCAAAATGGCAGCGCCGTCGTGGCTGTGAGGGAGGAGGCTGCGCCTGAGGTGACCGATGGCAGCAGCGTGAGCCATCCTTCTGCGGGTTTGCTTTGTGAATGGAGAGCCTTTTAAAACCCGGTTTAAACCCTCTGATTCATTAAGGGAACAAACAGCAAGGCTCAAGAGCTCAGAAACATTTAAATGCAATAGAAGCCCACGAGCCTGGGGTGAATCAAAGGTGCTAATCGATTCCTTTCAGCTGTGTTGAAGGTGATGGCTGGTGCCATTGAGTCTGAAAGCTTTGAGGAGGAACGGCTGCAAAATGAGAGAGAAACCATGACCTGGAAGCCCAGAAAAGGTAAGCCTAAAATAGTAGGACAAAACAAAGCAGGTGGGTAGTTAAACTTATACTGTGCTTGAGGAAATACATCTAAAAGAGCATGTGTGAAGCTTCTAGGTGATGCCTGGGAAATGCCTCCTCAGTTACTGCACTACATAATTTACATGTAAATAATCGGTGTATGCCTAGGTGTAAGAGTGATTAATATTGCCAAAAAACCTTTGTATATATCACAAATAAACCCAAACCCACAACCAAAACCCAAGACAACCACAAAATCCAAACCAAACCCAGAGCTCTGTTATTTCAGCATACCTTTGTTTTTGTTTTAACTACCAGAAGGTGAAGGTGGTGAAACAAAGCTGCTGGTTCCTTTGCCCTATTTTAAAGGGTTATATTTCAACCCTGTGGAAAATCCTGACTTAGGCTATTGTTGATGCAGTACATCCAGTGTTCCCAAGCACGTGGAACAGCACTGTGATGATACTCCATATATAAGAAACTGCATGTATTACAATTACATTAGTTAAAAAGTGCATTTATATACCTGTTTGAATTATTGCATGCTAAGCATTTGTTTCTGTTTAATTCCTCTTTCTGTTGGTTTTAGAACGTTTGCTGAAGAATATTCCGGGTGTTCTTGATGGTGAGTCTGAAGAAAGTGAATTCTCTGATACCTCTCACAATGAAAGTGATACCGGTGGCTCTCCTGTTTGCACTGGTCATGCACATTCTGACCTGGAAGACTTGGATGGAGAATTGTCCAATATGTCTGTGGCTGTAACTTACCCAGAGCTGCAAACTGCTGCTGCGCACGAGGTGGAAGACTGGGATAAAGAATTGGAGGATTATGATCCTTACGGTAAGTACAAATTTGTTGGTGCTTCATTTTGAGTTTTCAGTAGTATGTGATCAGCAGAAGGCTCTTTGTGGGAGAATGGTTTAAATAGCACTGCATGTTCTGTTTTAGTAAGCAACCTTTCTTGTTGTTGGCCTCATGGATTTGTAATGCATAATTTTGGTGTCAAATACAGGATTTAAAGGCAGTGCTGTGAAATTAGCTTGAAACCCTTGCTTAAGCAGTTGAATTCTTAGGGAGTAGAATGGGAAGAAGAATTAATTATATATGTGCGTTGAGTTTCTCTGGAGAGGCTAGGTCTCAGTAGTTTATCTTTGTTATTCTGAAGCGAAGGAGAAGGGTACATGGAGTGGTGCATGGAGGAATCTAAATTTGTTTTTTTTTGTGTGTGTAAAAGGAATTCTTCCTTGAAGAAATTCCATCCAGACTCTACACTGTAACATACCTCTGCAGCATGGGTTCTCTGGGGGGAAGTGGTACAAATGCTTAGTCTTTGAGTCTGGCTTCTTGTTGCTTTTGCTGTAGGCTTGGGGAGTTTTTTAGGGTGTTTGTTTGCTTTTACTGTTTCTTGAAGCTTGATGCTCTTAAGTGGTTGTACCTGTGATCAGCCCCATGCACAAAGGTGGCATTGGATGGAGGCAGTTTTATCTGGATCTTCAGGGCTGTATTCCTCCCATTTGTGAACTGGTTTACGGTGACTCGTGTTGAACTGGGAGTCTCAATCTTCCATTTGCCAAGCTGTGTTTCAGGACAGAGCAAGTGAATGGAGTTTAGCCAGCAGCGGCTGATAACCCGCTGTGAGTTTGTTGGCGCAGAATAGTACCATTTCCATTTTCTTCTCATTAATGTGTATCTTTTGTGATTAATACAAACATTCTTTTCTTTACTCAGGAACTATCAATTCTCAGTTTATTTTAAGTCCATAAATGGCTGTTGTGTTCAAGTTCCATTGTTTGATAACAGAAGGAAGTGAGAAAGTTTTTGTAGCCTTCCTTTAAAATCATTCTGATTTTAGAATGGAAACAGTGTTTTTTTCACACTGGATAATCTCAGAAAAAAGACAATTTCTTTTTCAGATGTTTCCCTCTCTTCCATCCTGGCCTTTCCCTGTAATCTCTTATCTGCTCAAATTTGTGGAAGATTTTGGGTTTTTTGTTTTTTGTTTTGTACTGCAGTTATCACGAGTTCTCTTATTTTCCTTTAACTAACTCATCCCTGCCTGTAGCTTGTGCTCTCAAATTGTCACAAACTAAGGCAGCTGTGATGATGGGATCAGGTGCTTGTGAAGGATAATGAGTGCAAGTGCCTGAGTTGTTAACTGCCGCAAATGAAACTGTCCTTGGTTGGCCATTTTCTGGGTTTTTACAGGCTTTTAAAAACTGTTTTCTTTGTGGCTTGTTTGACTGAGCAGCTGAAAGGTGGGCACATGGATATACTGTGGTGGGGCCTCTGCTGCCCCACACTCGGGGCTCTTCGTTTGCTCAGTCCTTTTCAGTGTCTGCTGCCTGGAAATCGTTTGCTTCTGTTGAAGGACTTCACCCTATTTTTGTGCTCAGTTGGTTATTTGGCCTAATTCTAGCAGAGTGGAAATGCTATTCACAGTTAGCTTTTACAGAACCCCACTCTTCCATGCCGTCTAGTGACCCAGTTCTTAAAGGGTTTGGAGGGCTCCTAATTGGAGTGTGGTGATGGAGACATCAGGAGGGAGGAGGGCAAATAGAAGTAGTTATTTTGTGAGCCTTTTATGCCTGGAGAAAATGTAGAACTGCATGCACTGTAAGAGCTGTGGTGGATGTTCTGAAACCAGGTATAACACTGAGCTTTTGGGAAAACTGTGGAAAGAGCTTTCCTTAAAACAAAAATGTTACCAAATTCAGCTGTTTGCTTTCTTTGTAGGTCTAATTCATGAGTGCTGGCAGATCAAATTGAAATGGTTCACTGCAAGGTGCTGCAGACCTGCAAAATAATCTGCTGCACTATACCACCGGTTCTCTTCAGTATCTCGCATGCTTTAAATCTTTTCTTTGATCTTCTTTAGATGCTGGCGATTTCCACTGCGGAAGCTTTCAGGAAAATAATCCTTTGGCCTCGTACTCATGGCAAGAGGATTCGTTTTACGTCCCAAGCTGTCACCATGCAGCTTCTCTTGCTTTTAAGCCACCATTTAGAATGACCGAGACTGGCCAGTTTGATGATGCTGATGAATGAGATTAACTGTGGTCAGAACTAAGTTTGGGTTCCGAGTTGGATTATGTTCTTCACTGATTGAGTCATGTCAAGTCCTTTGGCTTGCTTGCAATGTTCTGCATAAGGCCAGAAATGAACTTACCATCTCTGAAGTTTTGCTTAGACACTCCGAACTGTTTATAAATTGACCACACTTGACCTCTGGAAATGAGAGTGTGGGTGCTAGCTGTAAGGAGTCAGTGCATTTCTGGACTTTTGTTTGTTATATATATGTATCTGTGTTGTTGCTAATTAATTTTTTGAGAGGAAGCATTTAACTTAAAAACTGCAGTTTCTCTGCCAGGCTTTGTCAGTTTTGACATACTGATCCCCGTGTGTCTATGTAACTTGTAGTTTCCATTTGATGCTGTCAGATGGTTTGGATGGCTGATGGCTGTAAAACCTCTTCCTCATTGCAGTTTCTCTGTTGTGTTTCTGTGTTGCAGTTTGTGATTCCCTGTCTACTGCTGATGTTAACAAAACAAACCATGACAAATACAGGATGAGTTGGGATTATTTTTATGTATTCCAGTATAAAGGAATGGCATATATGTGATACGTGTGTGGACAAATGGTAGGGACTGCTGCATCCAGTAGGAATGCTGGGTGCTTAAGACTGCCTCCCAGCAAAGATTTCTCCACATCAGACCTTCTTGTATATGGGCATATTATCCAATCTTACAGTTGTCTATAACATTCTCATGTGACATTAGACATGTAATGAAAAAGAAAATACCTCCACTTATGTAGTGTCTTGCAGTACACAATCTTTGTCCTGCAAGCAGTAGTGCATTAAGGTTCTTGATACTATATGTTTTGTTGTTTGTGGGAATGAAGAGATGGGAACAATATATGTTTTGTTGTTTGTGGGAAATGAAGAGATGGGAACACAAGATGTGTCCAGAAAGTCTCTTAAGACAACAGCTGGGACTAGATCTGTATCCTTTCTGTGTTTGCTCTGGTATTAAAAGAAACATTCTCAAATGAAATGTGAAAGTGGATTGAGTGGCTGGTCACCTGAGTAACAGTAATGTTCAGCTAATGGTCATGTTTCATTACTCACTTCTTTCTCAAGAACTTCTTGACAGCTTTGACACAGACTGATGCTGGAGCACAGCACCCATGTTTGTTTAGTCTCACGTCAGGAGTTAATATTTACCAGTGTATGAGTCCAAAATAATTTACACATCTATTTGGAAGGGGCAAGTGAATGACAGTGATATTTGTTCAATCTTTTCCTAGAGAGCAGATGAGGGCAAGCTCTTGGAAGAGTCTTTTCTTCTGGTGCCTTGCAGTTTCTGGTTATGTTTTAGTACCTAACAAAGAGTGGAAGTCTGGTGTAGAAGTTGCAGGAAATGTTTATGTGTTTTGTGGGCTACTGGCTCTCAGAGAGTATAGCTTTTTGAATCTTGCATTATTTAAAACATGCACTTGACCCTGGAATAGAAGTGAGAATTGACTATGCCCAGTTTACCAGGTTTGGGCATGTAGCGGCTTCTTTATCTGGGAAGACAGACTGTGAGCACGACTATAATAGACTCGTCAAATAGAGTAAAATTGTTGATTTGCATTTATAAATGCAATATTAATAAATATAGATGGAATACGGGTTACTGTTGAAGTAACAACACACCAGTAAATTCTAGAAGTTCCTCTGGAAAAGCACAGGTTGCTTTCAGAGCCTTTTGGGCTCCAGCTGCAGATGTCAATACCCAACGCTACCCTGCAGAGGGCAGCAGAAAATTGTCTACCCCGCTCAGCATCCTCTCATCTGGCACTCAGTTTCATCAGTTAAGTGTGAGATCCCCGGGCTGGATTTCTAATGTTAATAGCAGTTTAGATCCGTGTTCTGCATAGCCTTGTTGTTCCCCAGTGATACTGATTCATGGCCCTGATTCGTTTCTCATTTTTTTTTATTTCACTCTGAAGTTATACTTACTGGACTGAAAAATTTCTCCCATGGCTGAGAAAGAACATCACTTGTCTTCAGGCTTAATATGTTTTTTTTTTTACTGTGCTTGTGGGAGATGTCCCACTGTATTTAATAAAGATGAAACTAGAAGGATTCTGTGGAAGCAAACCTGCCTTTTTAGGAATTGTTTTAGAAGGATAACCAAAAAGTCTTTATAACATCAATCAGGATTATTTTCTTCCCGTTTTGTTCCAAAATTCCATCAGTACCGAAACCGAAATCTTCACACCATTTTGTTGCACTCTATAAATGAAGTTTGTTTTCTCAGCCTGTAATTGCAATCAGCTTTGTCTATCTCCACTGTGGTATTATTAGAGGAGAAATTGTCTGGAATGGCTGCTCCCTGAGCTGTTTGTATTTTACATGACTGTAAACTTCAAAGATTTGTTTTTAGTTTCCCTTTAGGATTAAAACTGACACCACCCCCACCAGCTTTGTTAAAAACCCACGAGGATTTTACAGCAAAGATGCATTGCAATCCCTGGGGATGTGTTGGCAAATGTAACTTCCTTGGTCCTGGCCCTGCTTGTTAGAGAAGGGGCTTAATGTTAAGTTTGATCTGAATACTGTCAAAGTTCAGTGGGATTAGAAAACCAGATGCACGCTTCTCAGACAGCATTTCCCTGGAAGGATTTGAAACCAAGCTCACGGATTCCAGTGTTTCTGCGCTACAGAGTGTTTCAAATTTCGTTGCGAATCTTGCATTGAGCTTGTTTTGTGTTGACACAAGCACGCCATGCTAGGCAAGAATATGTTGCAGTTAAACCCAAGAGAAGGTAACACATGAGCCAGCAATTCAAGCCAA